GGTCCTTTTTTTCCTTTTTACAAATAGTCCATGTAAGTCCTATAAAAACGTGCATTTTCTAATTGTTGGACATAGGATTCTCTATATTTTTCTTATTAACAGTGTTGTAGAAATATTCTTTTTTTTTTTTTTTTTTGAGACAGGTTTTCACTCTGTCGCCCAGACTGGAGTGCAGTGGCACAATCATTGCTCACCGTAGCCTCAAAGTCCTGGGCTCAAGCCATCCTTCCACCTTAGCATCACAGGTAGCTAAGACTGTGAGTGCACGCCACCATGCACCACACCCAGCTAATTTTTAAATTTTTCTGTAGAGACACTATGTTGCCCAGGCTGGTCTCAAACTGCTAGGTAGCCTCAAGGGATCCTCTTGCCTCAGCCTTCAAAAGTGCTGGGATTATAGACATTGGCCACCATGCCTGGCCTGATCTACTTCTTTATAAATACTTTGTCTTCTTAAGAAGCCCATGAACATGGACTTGTCAATTTCTCCCCATAATTCTATTCATTTTTACTTAATATATGTTGAGGCTACTTTATTAGTTGCATACAAATCTCAAAGCTAACCTCAACATTTAAATTTAAAGTAGCTATGCCATTTGCTGAGATCATTGACGGGGAGGCAGGAAGCCTAGAAGTTTTTCTTACTTCTTCCATATCCAGTAACTCACTGAAAAAAGATATTTATTGAGAATCTTCTTGTTTTGTAGCAGCAACAAACTATAGACTATATAACCTGACATACTACTGGAACCATAAGTCTGTGTTAATTTCCTTCAAAATCTGGCTGTTTCACATGGATGAACCTTGAGGATATTATGTCAAGGGACATAAGCCAATCACAAAAAGACAAAACTACATGATTCCTCTTATATATCTGCTATCTAAAATAATCAAACTCTTAGAAGAAAGTAGAATGGTAGTTGCCAGAGGCTGGGGGGCCGGGGGAGAAGAAAATGCTGCAGAGTTGTTATTCAAGGTGTATAGTCATGCAAGATGGAAAAGTTATAGAAATCTGTTGCACAACAATGCACATGCAGTTAACAATATTGTAATGTACACCTAAAATTGCTAGAAGGGCAAATTTGTGTTATATATTTTTTACCGCCCCCTGCCAACGCAGAAATTGTCCAGTGAAAAGAGATAATAGTTCACTGAACTACTGCTGGCACTTTCTTTTAGAACAAATAGTAAACTAGGATTTCTACCTGTACATCAAACAGTAAGGAAGATTTCAAAATTTGGCAATAGTCTCTAATAATATAAAGACATTCCCAAAGTGACCATTAAAACCTACTTCTCTCTTTTCAAACAAGCAAGTTCTAGCCCATCTCTTCTATGCTGTCTCATAGCTAACTGAGGCAACTCTGGGTTATGGCAATTATAGGATAATTGTGGATTTCTTCAAACTTTTTCTATTTCAAAATCGGCTTTTTCCTTTAAGTTTCTCATATTCAGACTTCCAAATGTAGTTTCCATATGTCAGTCTGAGGACTGGTGCCAAAGTGGGTTTAAAAGAATCATGTAAGAAGATTGTTTAAAAATATAGATTTCCAGACCTGCTAAATCCAAACTTAGAAAAGAAAGATCTGGGATTCTGAATTTTTTAAAAAAATTATTTTTCCATTCCCTTTTATCTCACAGGCTACGATTCATTTTCTCAAAGGCCATCCCTGACTCCTTACGCAGAGCGAAGTGCCTCTTCTCAGCTCCACCAATACACTGTCATATCTAACAGTATCTATAACATAATTATATATTTATCTCCTCAACTATACTGTAAATTGTTAGAGGACAAAGAGCATATATTCATCATTGTAGTCTCAGCACACAGCATGGCATCAGAAATACAGCTGGTTTCTGAACCAAACCAACAACTGTAAAGTATCTATTATGTACAGAAACACGAGTTTAAATGATATGATGACTACCAGTCAGAAAAGGCGTATCAGTGTCATCCCAGGAGCTTGTAAAAAATACACATTCCTGGGCCCATCTGGACTTAGTGAAAAAGAACCACCATCTACCATCTATCTCCATACCTCCTCTATTAGATGAGAATACCACTCACGGGAAACGGGTTGTTGAGTTGATATTTGTAGAAGGGGACTTTGATTGAAATGGGTCAAAATGAGGGAAGGGGCAGAGTATTTTGAAAAGGGAATGACACATTTGAAGACACTGGGGTGTTGAAAAACAGTCACAATAAAACTCCAAGTGATTCAGTTTTCCTGAAATGAATAATTTATAAGAAAATGGCTAGAAAAAATTTAGAGGTGTGTTCCCAAAAGCTCTAGTAAGATAATGCTAAAAAAGTTTAATTTTTTTATAAAAAGTTGTAGAGCACTATTGGAGGCGGGAGAGGAAAACAGAGTTGCATTATACAAAGATTACTTTGGATATTATGACAACGGATTGAAGCAGGAATGGAAGGGAGGCAAAATAAAAAGTTTCTTAAAAAATTAAAGGCAACAAAGCAAGGTGTACAACCAGAAAATACTGTCTTCAAAACTCATGTTAACAGTGTTAACACTACAGAATTATTCTCTCTAGCTCAGTGACTCTCGGGCAGTGATTTGGAGGGGATAAAGGAGCACCTCAGTGTTGGAGCTACCGCCCGCACCCCCATTCCCTGAACACACCTGCCACAACTGCGGGTGCGACGAGCCCCACTGTCAGAGGAGCTCTGTCATATCCTCATGGTGCAACCAAAAAAAGAAGAAAATCACTCTTCTAGCTACTTATCTTTACAAACACTAACACTTCTAACTGGTACAGAAAAATGTATTTAAGAGAAACATAATATTTAATAGTAATTTATAATAAACACGAAATATTTTAAGAGACTGTTTCTCATTTGATTTGCCCAAAATCAGCCAATATATTTTTAATGGAAATGTACTTTGTTGACAAAGAAAAACATTCTATTCATGTAAGAATAAAAGTGTGGGTTTTTCCCTAGTAACTGATGGATTTTCAGTGGTATACGCAAACCCTAAACACCTATAATCACAGACTATGATGTATCACATATAAAGGAACACAGTGTGAGGCCTTGAAGAGAGTGAAATGATTCAACCTGCACAGGAGGACACTGGCATGCCAGCACTGTACCCTACGGGCTGGGAGGGAAGCAAAACCTTGAATGCAATTGATTTGATACGGTTTAAGTCCCTACTAACAAGTAACCCTAAAGAGAAAAACCTATGTTTAGTCCACTAAAATCAAACAAGGGAAAGCATTCTGAAGTAGGAAGGCAGCCCAATTTAATATATGAATGAGCCATACCAATCAGAACAAAAAGTAAAATCACCTCATGATGAACACATTTAAAAACCTATTATTATTATTATTATTATTATTGTTATTATTACTTTCGGAGACAGAGTCTCACTCTGTTGCTCGGGCTAGAGTGCCGTGGCATCAGCTTAGCTCACAACAACCTCAAATTCCTGGGCTTAAGCGATCCTCCTGCCTCAGCCTCCCGAGTAGCTGGGACTACAGGCATGTGCCACCATGCTCAGCTAGTTTTTTCTATATATTTTTAGTTGTCCAGCTAATTTCTTCCTATTTTTTTTTTAGTAGAGACAGGGTCTCGCTCTTGCTCAAGCTGGTCTTGAACTCCTGAGCTCAAGCAATCCTCCTGCCTCGGCCTCCCAGAATGCTAGGATTACAGGCGTGAGCCACCACACCCAGCCTAAAAACCCTAGTATTATGATTGTTTACAAAATTTTATATGAGGGGGGGTGTGTACATCACAATCTAAATGTCCAACTACAGGTGAACTGTTACGTAAAAGAATATATATATATCCATCCTCATTAGTATAGTGGTTAGTAATATATTAAAAAAAAGAAAAAAGAAGCTGGATGTAGTGGCTCACGCCCATAATCCCAGCACCTTGGGAGACTAAGGCAGGAGGACTGCTTGAGGCCAGGAGTTTGAGACTAGCCTGGGCAACATGGCAAGACCCCATTTCTACAAAGAAATTTTTAAAAAGCTGGGCATGGTGGCGCATGCCTGTAGTCTTAGCTACTTCGGAGGCTGAGGCAGGAGGATCACTTCAGCTGAGGAGTTTGAGGTTGCAGTGCTCTATGATCATGCCACTGCATTCCAGTCTGGGCAAGAGAGCGACACCCTGTCTCTAAAAACATTTAAAAAGAACAAAACAAAACAAAACAAACAAAAAAAGAATGGTATATTCAAAGTCACTGTCAAAGCCATTAAAAACTGTTTATCAGAGGAAAATGTTTACAATATCTTGCTAAGTAGGAAAAGACCTACAAATTACTGTGTGCAAGCTTCTAAGCTAGGCACAGTCATATATACTCCCAGCACTTTGGGAGGCCCAGGCAGAAGGATTGCTTGAGCCCAGGAGTTTGAGGCTGTAAGGAGCTATGATGGTATCAGTGCCTGAGTAACAGAGGAAAAAAAAATTTAAAAAGATTCTAAATTTGAATATATGTATGTGTTTATTCAGAAAAACACCCAAAGAATATAAATCCAAAAGTTATTACTTGTTTTTAAACCATGAGTTATTTTTCCTTACACTTTTCTATGTTTTACGAGTTTTTTGTAGTGAGTATGTACTACTTTTGTAATTTCGGGAAGAAGAAACCAAACTTCACCAATAAATATTTCAAACAATACTTATACAGGCAATGGAATAATATGAAAAGGAAATATATATATATGCATATATTATATACACATATGTAATATGATTACAATTAAAGAAAGAAAAATTATGCATAAGAAAAAAAGGATGATTAGGAAATACACCAAAATAATGGTACTTGTGTTTGAAGGATGAAATAATTATGGGTAATTATTTTTTCCTAGTCTATGCCTTGAAATTTTTCTTCAAAGAATGTGTATTATGTAACTAGGAAAAAAATTACCACATTTATCAACCCTGACCCCAAACCTTCCTTTACACTGTATCCTGCCTCCTAAAACAAACCAAAAAATATATACATGCACACAAACCCGTAAGTACTTACATGGGCTTACGTCTCTGTATCTGTTTCGATTTCTGTTTTCTGGAAACTTGGCCACTCTATGAGGATAGTCATGGGACTCATTTCGAATTTCCTTAAAATAACAAAAATATATTTTAATATCCTCTTTTTTTAATATCTCTCTTAAATTTTATACAGCAAAACATATTTTCCCAGCCAGTATAAAATAAAATGTATTAATCCCTTATGATATGCCAAGTACTATGCAAAAGCATTGTCTACATCGCCTCATTTAATCCTCACAATACTAACAAATGATTCTCCCCCCATTTTATGTGTAAGGGACAACAGGCTTTACAGGCTTTCAAAGGTTAAACAATCCACCAAAGGTCATAAAGCTCATAGGTGGCAGCTCCCAGGACTAAACCAAGGTCCTTCAGACACTGAAGCCTTGTGCTCTAGATCTATTTATTTACTGCTAATTAGGCTCTAGTCAACAGCTATAAGCGAGCACGAAACACCTTATGTGGCAGAACTAATGCAATGGAGGTATCTAAGGTTAGCCATATCATATTCAAATTCTGATTAAAACTCTTATAACGTCAACCTAAATTGTAGACTTTCTACCTTAAAATTCTGACCTATTTCTGCACCTTTCTGCCACATAATTGTTACTTTATTTTGAAATATTCTCAAATTTTATCTTTAGAACCATAAATGCTTAATAACAACTAGTATGCCTGAGGCTCATTTTAGAGCCCCTAGGGTTCTCCGCATTACACTTTGGAAGATATTCTGCAAGGGTGTCTGCACTAAGTACTCACTACTGGATGTATCCAATAAGGCCAGGTTTTATCTCCCAAATGGAACATTGTTCTAAGAATTCAGATAAAAATAGAAGTATAACAAAAACAAAAAAATGTGCTTTAACAGCAAAAATTAAATTGGGCTTTAGCTCATGCTACCACATATAAGAAAAAGCATTTAAAAAGTTAGGCACCGTATTGTTTTATAAACTAAACATAAATAAGTTATTCAATTAATTTCTTGAAGAATGTCCTTACTGAGGGTTCCTTACTTTACTGTCTGCCGAGATCCTACAAGTCCTAGGACAGGTAACTTTCTAGTTTATGACTTTACCCTTTGGGCCTAGTATAAAAATTCTTCAGTGAATAGTCAAGATATTCTCTGCTATATTTTATTAAATTTCCACCTAATTTCCAGGAACCGTTAAACTCAATTATTAGTTCCTAGTACGTGTTTTTGGGGGTGAGAGGGGAGAAGAGATAAAATTTTATGAGATTAAAAAAAATAAAGATTCCTTAATAATTTGGGGGTATAAATAAGATGCCTATAAACTCTTATTACACCGTAAAACCAATACACCCAAACTGAGTATCCAAAGGTTTTACTGATGGAACATGATGAACACATTTCTAATCTAAACTCAATTTTTCTATAACTGAATGAAATGTTAACAATAGTTTTGCAAGATGTAAAACACTATTATTAGCCCACAGTGTGGAAGAAGAGTTTAATTTTATTCTTTCCCAATAGAGAGTTGATTTGATACCATTTACTGATTTTTTGCATTTATCAGTAACACCTGCTTTATCTTAAACCAAGTTTCCACCCATGTTGGATCTGTTTCTAGGTTCTCATTCTATTTCACAGAATCATTTGTTTACTTTGGAGCAGTAGCAAACTTTAGTTAGTCCAGCTTTGTAATACGTATCTGGAAAGGCATGTTGTCCCCTATTTATTCTGTCCATTTGCATTGTAGTTCATGGTATTTTAATTCATTTTATAATTTTCTTCATAAGGATATGCTAAAGGCTAGCATAAATATACACTAAAGGCTTTGTTGCTATTGTACATGGGATTTTTTTTTTAATCTACTGGTCATTACTACTTGTGTTAGGAAAGATACTGATTTCTTATTGGGGGGAAGGGTGTAAGACTCCCTCTGTTATCCCAGCCCTTCCTGACTTCTGTTACACACATACACCCATTTACCAGTTAAGTCCATCTGTCAGTTGCTAGTTCCTATTTTTAGACTAGAAAAACATATTTGTGTATACCATAACAAATGGTTACTGATGTTGCAAAAGAGGGGGGCCCCAAGTAAATAGGAGGGAAGAGAATTAAAATTTATAAAACACAATAGCACAGACAAGTCCTTGGGGTTAAGAAATATTATCCGTTCATAACATGAATGTATTTTATTTTCTCAGCTAATAACAAAAAGAACTCTTGAAGTGAGCCTCTTCTCTCAAATCTCCAATGTTACTGTTTGTTCTCCTTTAATTTCAGTGACTTTAGCAAGAAAAGAACCCCCAATATTTTCAAAAGCAGCTGCCAGAGATGCATACTAGCTGCCTATTCCAATATCCTATCTTTCTTACTAAAGGCATCTGATTTTATTTTCTGACTACAATGAGCCCAACTAAAAACCTATTCTTCTCAGACTCCTTTACAGCTAAGAATGGTACCGTGACACCGTGTGGCCAATGGGAATAAGCAGAAATCACTAAAGAAGACTGGCCCCGCGAACCCTTGTCCTTCGCACTTCCACCTGCCTGGAATGGTTTGATATCCAGAGGGTGAGGGCTAGAAAAAGACAGGAGCCATCCTGTGACCACAGGTAAAAAGCGCATTCCAAGGAAGGCTAAGCAGAAATAGGGGGACTGCGTCCATGGAGCCACAGTAACAGCCCTGAACTCCATCTCCAGAATTCTTGTCACATGAGAGACATCATAAACCCTCATTTGTTAAATCAGCTATTGCTTGATTTTCTTTCCTATGCAGCTAAATCAGGTCTCTAACTAATATATATGGCATAACCAAATCTCAACAATAACTACATCTAACACTGATGAGGCATTTCCAGTAATATCCAAGACACAAAAATAAGTAATTTTATAAGCACATCGTATAAGTAATACAGAGTGTTTGTCCAAATCGCATTGGGAAAGCAGACAGCTGGGCTATTCACTAGATCTATGATATATGGCAAAATCAGCTCCACTTACGTTTTGGTGCTAAAACTTTCCCCTTCTATAGCAAAGAGAACACATAAACAGCAGCCCTAAAATTGTATCTGGAATGTTTCCCATCAGTAGTAAAACCTGTTAATCCAGGGTTTCTCAGCCTCAGCACTACTGGCATTTTGGGCTGGGTAACTTTTTGCTGTGAGGGTTGTCCTGTGCATTGCAGGGTGTTTAGCAGCAGCATCCCTGGCCTCCACCCATCAGATGTCAGTGGCACCCCTCCCTCCAGCTGTAACAACAACAACTCTCTCCAGACATTGCCGAATATCCCTGGATAGCAAAATCTACCACAAACATGCTCCCACCAACACACAGTTGAGAACTACTGTTCTAATCTAATACCAAACCATATCTTTAATTAAAGCTAACTTTAAATGGCAAGGATCCTTGTTTTAAAGTATAATTTAACTAAAAATTTTAAATCCAATTTCATTTTAATATGATTTTTCCTCAAAAAAGCAAGGAATAGAGTCATTAGTCACTTCTTCCCTAGTGGCAATGGTCCAAAATGTAGGCAACTCATAGCACAAAGATATCTTTCAGAGTTATTTATAATGTTGAAAGACCAGAAGTAATCTGTCTAATGACAAAGATTGGTTGAAAAAATCATGGTCTATTAAATTGAATATTATGCAGCCATTTAAAAAGCAGAGCCTCATGTCATGTTAGTAGAAGCACAAACTGACAATCTCTTGGAAGGATAAACTATGATAAATAAGAATAATAAATCAGTAAATGGAATTGAGCCATTATATGCTACTTGGTAGAAAAATTCACTTAGCTCCTTTGCTGTATTTGAAATTTATATAAACATGTACATTGGCTATATTAAGACTGCCCAGCACCTCCTTTTCCAAAGAAGTCTAATTTTGGGAACATTATGGAATAATCCACTCCAACGATTAGCTTGTCTCCAGGGCAATGATTCTAACTTTAAATTCTGAACATATCTTACTTCCAATGTATCTACTTTCTTCTGTTATTTCACCTAAAATTTTCACATATTTTCACACATTTTCATATATAACATTTAATCCCTCTTGAAATTATTTTGATATATGGCTAGAAGTAAGGAACTAAACTGACTCTACTACAGAAACAATTTTACTGGGCTCAAATAATGCTGGACTGAAAGACATTCTCTTATCCATCTAGCTAGTCTTCATTTCATAAGCAGTGACTGTGGCTACATGGTACTATTAATATTTAAGAATTTAGGGATTCTGGCCGGGCCGGTGGCTCACGCCTGTAATCCTAGCACTCTGGGAGGCTGAGGAGGGTGGATCGCTCAAGGTCAGGAGTTCGAGACCAGCCTGAGCAAGAGCGAGACCCCATCTCTACTAAAAATAGAAAGAAATTATCTGGACAACTAAAAATATATATATAGAAAAAATTAGCCGGGCATGGTGGTGTATTTCTGTAGTCCCAGCTACTCGGGAGGCTGAGGCAGGAGGATCGCTTGAATCCAGGAGTTGGAGGTTGCTGTGAGCTAGGCTGAAGCCATGGGACTCTAGCCCGGGCAACAGAGTGAGATTCTGTCTCAAAAAAAAAAAAAAAAAAAAAAAAAAAGAATTTAGGGATTCTCAAAAATCTCAGGACTTACGCTTAAATTTCAAAAGTGTACTTCACATAAAGTCGTCTGCATAATTTCAGTTTTCATTGCAACGATTCTTGCATGAAGGTCACAGAATTCAGAGGTCCTTTCTTAAATATTCACAGAATTCTCAGAACAACTTGGTTATAGGATGGTCTTTAAAGAAACTGATCCAGGAAGGTTTATCTCAATAGTGTTGTTTTCTTTCCTCTCTCACTAGAAGGCAAAAGCTTTTTTAAAAAAAAAAAAAAAAAAAAAAAAGAAAGAAAGAAAAAAAGCAATGCTCAGTACTAAAGCTAACCAAGTCTCTACCCTGTGACCAAGGAAAAAAGTGTGTAAGTCCGCCAAAAAAAAAGACACATGTTTATAATGGATTAATTCATAATACAAAACCTGAAGGGGAAAAAAACTGAAACGTGCATGAACATGGATAAACTGTAGAATGGTCACACACTGGAATACACACAGCAATTTGAAAAGAACGATCCT